CCACCAGCCTCACACGCATGACAAAAAGGGGCTTGATTTTTCTGACAGATGTCTTCCTCTGCAAGCAGGAAGTCTTTGGAGCTAAAAGAACTCAGGAAACTCTGCTGCCAAGTTGGAGGGAAAGACTCAAAATCCTGAAACAGGGGAGAGGRCAGACACACAAACACAACCCCAGKTCCAATAAAGTTAGGACTTGTGTAAATTATAAATAAAACCAGAATACAAGGTTGTGCAAATCCTTTTCAACATATTTTCAATGAAATACGCTACAAAAACAAGATATTTAATGTTCAAATGAATAAAATTTATTGTTTTTTTTCCAAACATTTACTCATTTTGRATTTGATGCCTGCAACTTGTTCCAAGAAAGCTGGGACGAGGCCAACAAACAATTGTGTAAGTTGAGAAATGCTCAAAAAACGCCTGATGAACAGGTGAATTGGAAACAGGTGAGGGTCATTGTTGRGTATTAAGGGAGCRTCCCCGAAAGGCTTAGCCGCTCACAAGCAAGGATGGGGCGAGGATCACCAGCAAATAGTCCAACAATTTAAGAACATTTCTCAACGTACACTTGCAAGGAATGTAAGCATTTCATAATACCATCAAATGCTTCAGAGAATATGAATAAATCTCTACAAGTAAGCAGCAAAGTCAAAACTAACAGTGAATGACCTTTGACCCCTCAGGCAGCACTGCATTAAAACACATCAATCTGTAACAGATATTAGCGCATGGCCTCAGGAAGACTTCAGAAAACCACAGTCAGTGAACACAGTTCATCTCTAYAAGTTAAAGCTCTATCATGCAAAGCTAAATCCAGATATATACACGATCAACTTTGGATCTGAGCTCATCTGAGATGAACTGATGCAAAGTGGAAAAGTGTCCTGTGGTCTGACGAGTCCACATTTCTAATTGGTTTTTGGAAATTATGGGCATCAAAGTTCAAATGCCAGCCTCTCTGATGGTATGGGGGTACATTGGTGCCCACGGCATGGGTAACTTGCACATCTGTGAAGGCACCATTAATGTTGAATGATGGTTTTGGAGCAACATGCTGCCATCAGGCCATAATCGTTTCTGCTTATTTCAGCAAGACAATGCAAAGCCACATTCTGCACGTGTTCCAACACTTTGTAGTAAAAGTGTGTGGGTGCTAGACTGGCCTGCCTGCAGTCCAGACCATATACTCCATTTGAAAATGTGTGGAGCTTTATGAAGCACAAAATACAACAGAGACCCCAGCTGAGCAACCAAAGTCATTCATCAAGCAAGAATGAGAAAGAATTCCACATAAGCTTCAACAGTTAAGGTCCCAGAATGCTTATTGAGTGTTGTTAAAAGGAGAGATGATGGAACATAGAGRTAAACATTAGGGATGTACAAAATGTAAAGTTTTTCCATGTTTTTTTTATTTTTGGTTCACGAAAATATAAGTTCTGTAAAGAAAAATGTAGGAAAACTAGAAGCACTCGGAGAGTGCAAACCTCAGCCAAGAACAATTTCCCCCATCCTGGAAGAGTTAACGCACAAAAGCAGAGATGGAAACATGTTTGCTGAATAAGTTCTGACGTAGTGAACATTTAAGCAGCAGTACGCACGGGATTTCTTCCCTGTGGAGTCCAATGTGAAAAAAAAAAGTCAGACTCGTCAAACTGGTGTGGGATTAAACTCCTAAGTTTTCATCAGTCACATTTCACCATGTAAAACATCTGTTTTATCTCCTTGTATGAGTTTGTAATGGTTTGACTCTCTTTATAAAGTACTTCCTGGCTCCCCGTCTCCAAACTTTGAGGCCCGGTGTTGTACGAAATCCAGTTCCCCTGTGAAAATCTGTTCCCCCTACTGGTGAGAATCACTGGTCCAGCCCTCCCAACACAGGGGGAACAGACTTTCACAGGAGAACTGAATTTCGTACAACACCGGCAGCTCTCTGTGTACAAGCCTAGTAGAGAGAAACTGTTTTGATTGGTTGTTTGGGAAATGTGGTGTGTTTGAGGAAATGGGAAAAATAGGTTTCATGGTGCAGTCACGCACTTTCTGGTCACAAAACGTTCTGTAAATGCGCATATCGGCAAAAATTATTCATCATTAAAAATGGTTTTAACATTACTTTTATAAAGCTTGAAGTCCGTGCTGTCCAGTCCAGCTCACTATTTTTTACAGAAGCCCTGTGAAAGCATCACAGCTTTGCCGATCTCAGAGTGTTAAAAGAAAAAAATTCCTGTATCTGCATCGTGATCTGGAAYATCACCAAAATTTAAAGCTTTGTTCCTTGGCCCAGTCCCCACATGTGGTAAAAATGTCATGACAATCCGTCCACAAGTTTTTGAGTATTATTGTCCACAGACAGAACGACAGACAGACATACGCGACGGAAAACATTACCTCGCCCTTGGCGGAGGTAATTATTTTGTAACTGGCAACAAGTCAGTAAAGGGACTTACTTTTCTTCTAAGCTATTAAACAAAGCCTAGAGACAAATCACCAATAATCACAAAAAGGGCTGTTTTATGTTTCCCAAAGTTTAAAAAAAAGACCCCCATAAGTTTAGTCATAGGGACTCCCTTTGGTGATTTGAAATGGTAAATAGATGAACTGCAGCTCCAGAGCTGACAGCTGAAGAGCTGAGCAGCTCATTCTGACCAGGATGACATGCTTCATATAACCCTGGTGAAAACACTGCAGCACCGAGCTGAACGCTCAGAGCCGTTCTTTCCTTTTGCTCATGAACTCAAATAAATAAAAGAAAGAACAAGAACTGGACGCGGGTCTTGTTACATCCTGCGCGGTTGTGATGCTGACAGTTTAAAAAGCAGACATCTGCAGGGACTGAACACCTGTCAGGGAGCAGAGATCGCTGTCCAGGGTGCTAAAACACCTCCTGTTCCTGGGTCTCCTCTCACACAATCACACAAACAGACAAAGTATGAATGGAAACATTACACTTTCTCAAACTGGTTTCCTTTCCCTGAAATTCAGCAGCTCTGATTATGATGCTCCCTGCAATTAAGAAACCTCCTAAAAAATACTAAACAACAAAACCAGGTTACATTTCCATGGATTGTCCAAATAAACCTTAAAGACTTGATCAATGTTGGCAGGATTGAAAAGTTTGGCTCGTTTAGGTGTTAAAATAATGTCTGGAAGTCCTTTTGTCCCATTCCCGTTGTGTAACATCTAAAAGCAGGACACCTACCTCTGAATGTAACTTTGGCGACCCGGTCTCCTTTCCCCCGCAGGTGAGCCACCGTCTTCAGGTGAACCACTAGAGCCATCATGAGTCCACTGGGAGCAGCGGGAGGAGTAATTTTTACTCCACGCAGATCAAACTTGACTTCGGAGCAATCAGTGCTGCTGTTCTCGCCCTCCTCTCCTTTAGAAGCTGCTCAGCTCTGGGTGCGCTCTGCAACCAAAAAACGCGTTCCTCACTGACGACCTGGACATTTTAGAGGGTGTTTTATCTTATCTAAATAAAAAAAGGTGACATAATCTTATTCTCTAGTTTGTTTACTCCAACTCTGAGCTCCGTGGGTCCGTGGCTCATTTCTGAGCTGGTGCTGGATTTAAGTCCGCTGGTTGCGCAGGAAGGGCGGGGGGTGGGTGGTACGTGTGAGRGGAGGGAAAAGTGTGGGGTGGGCTTCACTCTAGCAAGAGGAGGCTGCTGGATGCTCTAATTGCAGAGGGAAGGATGGGAAAGCGCTGCAGCTCCTTTTCTTCCCCCTCTTCCTATGATTATAATAACTGAGCATCACTTCTTCAAAATAAAACAAAAAATCCTAAAGACAGAAACACACTGGGTCTTTAGGTTAGAGAAAAAAAGGTAAAAATCCACCCCTGGCTCCATACAGAAGTGAGTTTGGTGTCTATTGGGGGCTAGAGGAAGATTAAAGCAGAGGATCACTCACAGGGCCGGCCTGAGCCAATCTGGCGCCCTGGGCAAGATTCCAGGTGGTGCCCCTTGTTCGGTAATTTACAACCATTCACATATGCAATTAGTTTTGTCGTTAATCATATTTTTTATCTTTAGAGACCAGGTTGTCCAATTAAAACTGTTACAATTATAATGAATTTGAAATGGTGGATCTTTTATTCGTTTATGTTTTTGAATAAGGGGGCCATCAAGGGGTCCACAATATTCATAAAGAGGCCAGGTATTTGTTCAACATCTTTGCACACAAATCCTTGTTCTTTTTTAACCTGTCACATGTTCAAACATTTGCAATGTAAAGTGATTAAAAATGAATCATTAAAAAAAGCTTGTGCAGTAAATTCTCCTTACCAGTTTTACTGTTTTACCTTACAGTTTTATCAGTTTTCTTAAAGGGGCTATATCATGTAAAAACACATTTTTTAGTTTTATTTCATGTTATAATGTTATCCTCTCATCAAAAACATGCCCAGAGTCTTGCTTTGACTCATTCATGCGTGTTTGAGAAGTCCTGTAGTGTCCTGAGGCAGCCAGGCAGGAGAGCAAAAATGACCAGTTGGGACTAGAACCACCTTCTGGGACCAGCTCCTCCTCTGGGCTGTGTCTCCAAGCTGAGCTTCCTCATCACAGAGCACTCACACCCACCTGTGCTAAAATGGGTGGGACAGAAGTGGAAGGAGGTTCTTAAAGAGACAGGGACCAATTTCAAGGTGTTTAGAAACAGATATGATGAGAAGTCAAATTTATTTTCTATTTAAATATATAAACAACATTTTAATAACAACTGAAGGTGACATAGATACTTTATTATGGTATAGAATTTAAATATATGCATGAGAAATACATAATATTGGCTCTTTAAGAAAAGACTTGACTCCTACAGAACATTCCTCTTTGACTCATCAGCACCTCYAGTGTTCAGACACGGAACTGCAGGCACCATTACTCTCTCAGGACAGATGAGTGACAGGACAGGGGCGCTTCAGAGGGCCAGTCGGATCTAACTTATTTCCACTTTCAAAATTCAGTTGTCGGATCGAATCCCGGCTGGAGACCTTTCTGTGTAGAGTTTTAGCATTCTCTCTGTGCATGTGTGGGTTTTCTTGGGGCACTCCAGTTTCCTCCCATAGAATAAAAACATGAATGTTTGGTTATTTGCTAAATTGTTCCTTGGAGTGAGCGAGAGAGTGAACGGCTGTGTGTCTCTGTGTGTCTCTGTGTGTCTCTGTGTGTC